TATTCGAGGTCCTAGAAACAGGCTCTGGGCTATTTGGGAGAGAATTCTGGGGTCCTGCTACTCAAATGGTGTTCTAGAATAGCAATTCTCAAATACAATTTGACAACTCTGGAGATGGTTTTTTTGGTTGTCGCAGCCTGGGGACAGGTAGAGTGTAGTACTGGCATAGAGCAGGTAGAGGCCAGAGATGCTAGGAGACATCCTACAATGTATGCAACAGCCTCCACAAACAAGAATTCTCCAGCCCTAAGTGTCAATAGTGCCCAGGTTAGACATCGGTCATTAGGAAGACACAAATTCTGTCAGATATCCTTAGTTACATTCCTTAACACCCTATTCCAGGAAGGGAGGTAAGGTTCTGGGTGGGAGATCTTCTTGGCTTCCACAGATTCTTTCCCCCATGGGAGATGTTGCCTGAAGAGACACAAAACAGGGCCCTTGTAAACATGGGGCCCAGGATCAGGGACCCCTTTCCTCAGGTCTGTGAAAGGAACCTCAAAAGTCCTTTAATCCTGCAGGGCACAAAGCCCTTCCAGGGACCCAGACAAGGGGCCGCGTGGGCTTTGTCCCAAAGCAGCTCTTTGTATTCATGGCCTGCTTCCTTGGCAAGTTTACAATGAACTGAAATCTGCCTCTCTAACTTCCTGGAACCCAAAGAAACTTTGGCCTTGGGCAAAGGACCTTGGGTCAGCACTTGGCACTGTTTATGCAACTGTCTAGCATATGCCAATCTGGAGAATACTACTGAGTTCAAAAAGCAACACTGCAAATATGTATGAGGGGGACCCAAAAAAACCTGGAATTATTTTTCGGAGGGCAGGCCCCTTGTAGTATAGGCTTCCCCAGCTAGGTTGTTCTTGGAACCCAATGGCATCAGTGTACCAGCTGGCGCTGTTTTGAGAGGCTGCGTTTGGCTTCAGTGAATTTTTTTTGGAGATTCTTGCAAAGCGTTTGCCCATGTCGCGATGGGTGATTTACAGGCATACCTGCCCCAAGTCGTGCTGAGTGTTCAGCAGCTTTTGACCAAAAATGGCGTGACCTCTGTGCCTCCAGCCTTCCTGTTCACCTGGTCTCGCCCTGGGTGACTTTCTTCGTTTCCCGACGAACAAAGTCCTCAAAGGGAAATGTTTCACTGATGCAGAAGAGGTGAAACAAAAAGCAGCAGCACTAGAAAGCATCAGCGTTGAGGAGTTCAAACACTGTTCTGACCAGTGGAAAAAGCATCTCCATAGGTGTATTGCATCAAATTGAGAGTACTGTGGAGGTGATGGACATTTATGCATGTAAGAATAAATACACACTTTTAAATAAATAAATTCCATTTTCGGGGGGTCCTCTTGTATACTTTCCAGAAGATGATAAAAAATGTGTAAATTGTGTATCTCTGTCAGAGGATGCATTAGAATTCAAGGATCTAAATAAATTAAATAAATGAAAGTGGACTCCAAACGTGCCTGGAGCAGCTTCTGTTCTTGTTTCATACTGGACTTAATTCGAAGCCTCAGGATTCTGCTATCCTCAAAACGAACTCCTGCCTACTGAGCAATAGGGAGAAATACAGGTTGTTTAGGTGAGTTCCTGGGCCGGTGGGGAGGAATTAAATTCCACAAAGAAAACAAAATAGGCTGGGCATAGCAGCTTATGCCTGTAATCTCAGCACTTTGGGAGGCCAAGGTGGGAGGGTTGCTTGAGCCCAGGAGTTTGAAACTAGCCTGGGCAACATAATGAGACCTAGTCTCTACAAAAAAAAAAAAAAGGACCTGGGCACAATCCCAACTGCTTGGGAGACTGAGGGGGGTGAATCACCTGAACCCTGGAGGTCTGGACTGCAGTGAGCCATGATAGTACCACTGTACTCCAGCAAGGGTGGCAGAATAGTGCCACTGTACTCCAGCAAGGGCGGCAAGGGCTCAAAACAAAACAAAACAAAACAAAACAAAACAGAAATACCCAGGAAACACTGCTGATCTCCCTTAGGTCCGTTACTTCTTGGCCTCCATCTGACTCTTCTTGTCTCTTGATGTTTCCTTTCGGGACACCTTTTCCATCTCTTCTTTTGAGTCAAGTAGTTCCAGCTCTTGCAACAACCTGGTACTTTCACTAGGTGAAAAAGGCCCCCACTCTGCCACACACAAATCAGAGGTACTCAGAGTGAGGTCCTGGAGCAGCAGCATCAATGCCACCTGGGGACCAGTCAGAAATGCAAGTTCTGGGGTCCCATCTTAGACCTGCTGATTCAGAAACATAGCAATCTGCGATTTGACAAGCCCTTTAGACAAGTCTTTTTTTTTTTTGAGTTGGAGTTTCACTCTGCCGCCCAGACTGGAGTGCAGTGGCCACTCCCGGCCACCGCAGCCTCGACCTGCTGGGCTCCGGCGATCCTTCTGCCTCAGCCTTCCAAGTAGCTGGAACTATAGGCATGCGCTACCACGCCCTGCTCATTTTTTAATTTATTGTAGAGATGAGGTCTCTCTTGCCCAGGCAGGTCTCGAACCCGCGGGCTCAGGCAATCCACTCACCTCAGCCTCCCAAAGGCACGGGATTACAGGCTGAGCCACCGAGCCTGGCTCCTTTTGACAAGTCTAATGCAGCTTCTAGGTTAAGCAGCCCTCACCTCTTCCCCTAGGAAAACAGTTCAGACACTTCTGTTATTATTCAGGTATACCCTGTGAGGATGAAGGACGAACTCACTCCCCTCTCTAGCACCTCACTCCCTCCACGGTTCATCAAATAATTCTCCCAAAAAGAGGTGAGGAGAGTTCTTTTTTGGTTGCTATTTTTGTATCTTATAGTTGTGGGTTACAAGTGGGGATTTACTACATAAGCAGACTACCTGCAGGTGAAGTCTGGGCTTCTAGTTGACCCTCTCTCCCTTGATAGTCGACCAGGTATCCAGTGTGTTGCCACGTGCCCCTCCATCTCTCCCTCCCTCCCCTAGCAGCGTCCAGTGTCTGCTGATCCCACCCTTGTACTTGTGTGACCAGCGATCAGGGCCTGCTTATGAGTGAGAACATGCGGTATACAGTTGTTTCTGTAATAGTTCACTTAGTATGATGGTCTCCAGCTGCATCCATGTTGCTGTGAAGGCCATGATTTTGTTCTTCTTTATGGCTGCATAATATTTCATTGTGTATATGTACCATGGTTTCTTTATCTGGTACCCTTTCGATGGGCAGCAGGGTTGGTTCCATGTTTTTGCTATTGTGAATAGTGCTGCAATAAACATGTGTGTGCAGGTGTCTTTTTGGCAGTGATTTATGTGTGCAGGGTATATTCCCGGAAGAGGGATTGATGGATCGTACGGAAGCTCAATCGGTAGTTCTTAGAGAAACTACCATACTGCTTTCCATAGAGGGTGAACTAGCTTACATTTCTATTAACAATGTAGAAGCTTCCCTTATTCTCTGCAGCCGCGCCGGCACTTGTTGTTTTTTGACTTATTAGTGATAGCCATCCATCCTTACCTGTGGTAGATGGTATCTCACTGTAGTTTTGATTTGCATTTCTCTCTCTCTTTTTTTTTTTTGAGTTGGAGTCTCACTCTGTCGCCCAGACTGGAGTGCAGTGGCCGCTCCCCGCC